TTAATATATACAACAATTTTTTTGAAAAGTAAAACAATACTGTTTTGTTTTAGTTGTGATAAGAGCGTGTACTTGGCGCCTTTTTTTTACCTTTTTTTAAAAAAGGTAATTTTTTGATTAACTCATTTACTGCGAGTCGGGAATGGAGAATTATTTCTCATTGCTAAAGTTTCCTTCTTCCTCGTATTCTCTTGTTGCAAAGAGAGAAATCTTCTTCTTCTTCTTTTGTTTTATAAAGGACAGTATGTGTCTTGATCTTTTGTACTTTTACTCAAGACGAAAGATACGCGACAAGGTGTCCGTGAGCAGTGAACCACTTTCACGCGACTGCGCGTCCTTGGCAATGAATAAATTAAAGTCTTGGTAATTACATTACTATAAAATTACATGAAATTTGCAAGATAATTAATTTTATGCTCATCGCCGATACATCGACGCAGTAATACGTGCAGACCAAAAATGTTTCGGGAAAGTCCTTTAGATGATAAAAGAGTTTTAAATAAGAGTCTTAGAAGCGTTCAGACGATTATATAAGATTTCATGTGCTGAAACCACCGGATATGTCAAGTATATTACATTATTATGGCTGTGGGGAAGCCTTTTTTCCGACAACAATCCGATCCAGGTGGGCTCGATCGCCAACCGTTGACCTACTTCGTGTCTGACCAGCAAAGCGGTCTTAACGACTCTGTGCACCAATCGAAAAGCCAGTCATGAGATGAGAGATAAGTGAACGTGGCCTTGACATTCATACGATAACTCAGGCGATTTATCAGACATACAAATATATCTATGACTTTATGGAAAGGTGCTGTCTTATCGCAGCATTTAATTTGAAGCTTAGCGTGTCAAAGACTCGTTGATCGATATATCGTATCATAAATGAGATTAATAAATAATCCGGATGATAAAAATAAAACTTGCAATATGCAATAACACATAAATATAAATAAATAAATGTCAGTAATGTTTAATACTGCGTTATCTCGCTAACGCGCACGCACGCGCGTTGCTAGCTTCGCTCATTACATCCATTAGAGCAGAAATAAATTTGAAAATAAATTTAGAATCGATTTCTCAATAAGCATTCGTATATTTCAATTTATCACTATTCATATTTCAACGTTGAGTAACTTAATTAGATGTAAATTTTATCAAAGCAGAATCACGATTTCAAGAATGAGACAAAGAATTCTGTTGTCAGTAAAAGTTTCCCGCTATTTAGGATTGAGATTTATTAGTACGACGATATCACTCACGATTAGTCTCGCGGATTCTATATTTGCACGCGAAATTGTTTCTCAATTGCGTGGTAATTGGTGTTTCACAGATGATGAGGCAAGATCGCATGTTACGGGGCGCGCACGTGGCTTGTCAGGCAGACTGCAGAAATTGCGGCATGCGAGAATGTGCCACAGAACAGTCTCGCCCGTTAGAAATTCTCGTTTTCTGTCATTAACGCGACGGGCAACCTTTCGCCGCGCGAGAATATATGCTTCAAACGCGCGCGTGGGCGATACGTTCCCTCGTTAATAAGCCACGTTCACTAAAATTTGGCGTACCCGATTAATTCGTCATCGACGAACGCAGCCAACGTGATGACAGAATTTTGTCACGGACGAGCGAGAGCTCGTGACGAACGCACGAAAACACTTTGAACCGCGTATTCTCTCGACGCGTAATTAGTGTTAAACGCACTCATCTGACCCTGAGTTTTATCTGTATTTTGCATATGTATATCAACGGTGCACGTTTGACGTTACGTGATAGTAATATGGTCGCAGATGTTGTTTTCCGAATTTCTTCTAGATAAGTTCTAGAGACAGGAGAACAGATAACAGATGTGGACCAAGATACGAATGAAAGGGTAGCCTTGAACTGGCGCGATCATCATCGTTAACTATTGCAGCAACACGCGTTGAGGCACATTACGTTTTATACGCAGCTCGCCATTGAATCAATACGAATAGCGACGCAATAGCCGCATAAATTATTATATTATTATAAAATTTTTTATTCATTTATTGATAGATTAAAGAAAACTAAAAAAAGTTGAAATGCGTTATTTAAGAAAAATATATATCTTAGTTTTGCGAATGTGTCTGCGAGCGTACAATGAATTGTGCATTGCGTGTATTGCGTATTTGTACGACTGAAGACTTAAAAAAGTCCCGACTCGATCGGAAATGATTAAAAAAGATCGATATCGCCTGACCTTGACGGTGTAATCAGTCCTCTTTGAAAGATGCAATTGCCAGTCAACATCAATTCATCACAATTGAAAAGTCCGTCGAGTCGCCGACGTGCTAAATGTGCACTAAAATCTCCCATTCGATCGAAAGATGTGGACAATCAATAACCGCTATTATCGAATCTATCGATCTCATTGGATACCAAAATACCTCGCACGAGAATTTCCAGCATTTTGCGAGAGCTTATCGAGCGAATCTCGCCGGCCGGCGTAGAAGTCGGAAACGTCAGAACGACGGAGAAAGACGGCGAGGGTATCAGCGACAGCCCGGAAATTCACGACCGCCGGACGAAATGACACCCGTACCTTTGATCTCGGCGATGTGCGCGTCGTACTCGCTCCTGCTGCGCACGTAGTCGATCTTCGCCGCGACATTCTGGAAGCTCTGATTACGATACTCGGCGTACCACTCCGAGGGCGGCCGATCGTCCGGGCCCAGCTGCTGGGCCCGAGGACTACTGGATCTCCTATGCGACAGGCTCTCCTCCGAGGGAAACCTCGTGAAGGACGTGACCGAGCTGGACTTGCTGCCGTGGCTGTGCACGCCGTGACTGTGGCTCTGATAAGCCGAGTCCTCGAGGGCGTGCTCCTCGCTCGGGGTCCTGCTGGACTCCGTCAAGGCACGTTGCTGAACGATCACGGTGTCGTTGCTGCTGAACCTCATCTCCCGCACGCTCTTTCTCACGGTGATCTTCTCGAACTTGACTACCTTGGCGCCGTTCAGCTCGCCCTCCTCCACCAGTCGCTCGAAACTCTCCTCGAACGAGGAGTCGCTCGCCCTGGAGGACGAACGACGATGGTGCGCGGGCGACCGGAAGGACAATCGGCGCGCGTTCGCGTCTTCCAGAAGATCCTCGGCGCTGGGGGCGCGTCCGGCCGACCAGACCTGTTCGAAGAAGCTCACCCGATCCCGCAGCCGGCCACCACGTGGCGTTCTCGGACTGCCGCCACCGCTTCCGCCGCCGCCGCCGCCGCCGCCGCCGCCGCCAGGGCTGTCCACTCGCGGCGGGGTCGGACTGTTTCTGGGTGGGGTTGTCCGCGACATATTCGTATTTCTTTCTTAGTTCGTCATCGTCCCCGCTCGGATATCACCAACCGGCATGTCTCGCTCATCGAGCACGCACACTCCCCCTCCCTCCCGCCCTCCGTTCACACCCGGGGACCTTCGCAATCCGACACCTGTTCTTTCGACACCACACCCCATGCACCGGCCTGCATATGCCGCCTGCGCGCCGACGTCCACCTGCCACTCTTCGGCAATTATCGGGGGCGCGCGAGCGGACAAGCGCGTCGGGTCGTTCTATCAATCCGGATCTGGCGAACCGCAACCCTGCGAGGTGCACCTCGCAGGAGTTTCCGCAACAAACGGCGGTGCAGAGGGTGCACTCACGTATGGCGTTTGCGTCGGGGGATGCGCGCGCGCGCGCGCACGCCGCTATGACATGCGAATATGGTGTATGTATACAGAGCGCGCGCATGGAATGCACGAATACGGAATGTATATACAACGACCGTACGCGACGGACGCCGGTTCGATACTACCGGCCTGACTCGAGGCCTCCTCCGTCGGTCTCCGCCACCTCGTATCACCACCGTGTTCCCACCGCGCGCCGACGACGACGCGACGCGCAGCGCCGGCACCAGCCGGCCAGACTCGATTGTATCCCCCTCCGGGGAACTCCGAGCGGCTCGTCCTGGCATTTTCCTATTCTCCGCTCGATCAATTCCCGTATCCTGCCGCCCGAGCCTTCCTCGGCCACTTCGGTCTACCTGCGACATCGGCAGATCGACCGTCGATGCGGTCGCTTCAGGTGCTGCCTCTCTCACGCGAGCCGAGACTTCGAACGATTCGAGATTAATCAATGCTTAGTCAGGCCACGTTATGTGGTTACATGTGTGTGATTTGGTATTATAAATATAGAGCGAAGGAAGAAATGCTTCCTTAAATAGCGACTGTAGCGCATCAAAAACTGTGAAGAAATTTTTTGGAAGCTTGAAACTTTTTCAAAAATTGCTACACGTGTAACAAAAAGTCATGCAAGACGCGCAAAAGATTTTATTAAAAATAATATATATTTCTCGTGAGTAAAAATCATTTTTTTCTATGAAACACTACAAGAAGAAAACAACAGCCTCTTGTAAGGCTTCGGTTGACTTTCTTACAAAGTTCTTGCTAATCTTTGCTAAGCCGAAGTTGAAATATACTGAAATAAATTATCCGCTTGCCGAACGTGAACATCGAAAACGAAACTGGGGTAGTCTAAAAATGCTTGAGCGCTGCAGCGCAATGAAGAAAATTAAAGATCCTGCGAGATAAGAATCATGTCATGAATTTCACAAAATTGATTCAAGACACCTAATAATTATTCAACCGATACACTGCGTAAATATACCGCGTGCACTTATTAATTAATAGACATTATGGAAATGCGAGAATAAATTAAATCTCATTACGCAACAAAGTGCGATCATCATTTGATCGACCGCCTCGTGATTCTAGAAAATCATTATTCAGTCTACAGCAATGGCTGAGCAATCTACGTCACGAGTATTAATTAAACACTTTTTCGCTAATAATCGCTAATGGTAGATGTAATCTTTAACGCAAGTCAATGCCGCAAACCAGCTCATCAGCTTTATCGCGCGCAAACATCGCTCTGACACGCTGACGGTCTACTGTAAAGCGGCACCCACAATTGTAGAGCATCCCGCGTCTTAATGGAGCACGCGATATCTCGCGCGGGATCGTCAACTTGGAAATCGAGTTACCTGGCATTGGATTTAATCCGGCCGGCGCGATGTCAATCTCACACACACGCGTCCACTTCCCTGAGTCACGATCCGGCCGCGCTACATATAAGCTATGAGATTTATTAAGCGCGCGTGAAGCCTGCGAGTACGCGCCACAAATTTTAATGAACGCGCCACGATTTATTAATAGACAAATTCCAATTGACATCATTCTGTCATGTATAAAAAATGGTTCTAACTTATGCCTGTTATAACGATTGTTGACAGACATGTTTTAGGACTAAATATCAAGATGTAGATATCTTCGAAATTCTTAAATCTGGAAAACTTAGATAGTACAGATGGAACTTTATAATGCAAAAAAAAACAAAATTTTTTAAAATTAATTTTCTGCTAAAAAGAAATCGATGACACATTTGCCGAAATCAATTTTGCAGCATGATTTCTGAGATGTGAATCAAAAGTGGTTCTCGAAAACATTCGCGCTATCAATCCATCTATCGGTGAGGTGATCTGTCCAGCGGTCGACAACGAGGTGTCTCCGGACAGGAAAGAGAACGTAACGATTGCGAATAGCGCGGCAGGTGTTCGTCACGTCTATTTATAACTCGTTCACTCGTCTCCGCGGATACGATCCTATTTTCCCTGCACCGGAGTTCGATTCGACGAACGAGATGCGACATCATCATGCAAATAGGCGCCCGTTGCGCAAGAAGCGCAGACGAATTACAATCCCGCAAATGTACACCGTGGGCGTATTGACAGGCGATGATGCGTTCTCTAACTTAACATACTTTTGCGCGGGACCGCAAATGAAGAGCCGATTACCAAATCGTATGTCTCAGCTTTTATAAATATCGAAATTCAATACCGTTCTGATTTTCGCGAGACGTCGAAAATGGATACGGCTGATAAAACGCGGAATTGCAAGAGGAATGAATTTCCGATTCGGCGAAAATTTCACAACTCTCTCTCTGAGGGAATAACGCGATGGCGAACGCGATACGATCTCGAGCACTCGCGCCGCCGTGGCCAGAATTTGCGTGCGCAACAACAACGGTTCGTGATCTAGATCGGGAGATAGTCTACAATTAAGGGCCTCATACGGAGGATAAGTGCATAATGTTAGTCCACGCTCCTCGTAACGTGACCGACATACGATTCCATCGCGAAAACAGATCGCAGAACGCTCTTTCAGCTCCGCGAAACTCACCCTGCAGCTGTTGAATGGTAGCTTGATACTCGGCGAGCTTCTCGTCTACATAATCCTGACTCTGGCTGGCGATGATCTCGGCTGTGCTGGGACCGCTGCTCTCCTCGTCCGTCTGCGTGTGGTCCAGAGGCACGCCGATGTACTCGTAATCCCCAGGTCGGTACGGCGCAATCAGATATTCCGGCGGCGCGCACGGCACCGGCGATGCCGAGTCGCTTCTGAAGGAACTCTGCGATTTGGGAACAGAAAAGCGCGTTTCGGGACTGATATCTCTCTACAAAGAAATCTTCAAAGTCGCTTATTTATTAAATTCCGCTTGAAATAAAATTATTCATCGAATCCTTAGAGTCCTTAAACAGTATTAAAGCCAGAGTTGAGACTCGATTACTGAAAACTGTGTCAAAGGTGTGTAATTTTCTCTTCGAGTCTCTTTGACAAGTGCGTCACACCACTCGCGCCGATAACTCATTCGTGCCACTTTATTCAATTAGACAGCCGAGTCTAATCGACCGCGGCGTACAATGTAGATGTGTATCGATGTCACACCGCGTATCTATCATCCTACGAGAATAAATACCTGCGTCGGTATATACGGCCTTGGCGCTTGGCTGCCCATAGGAATCGGCGAGGGCCACCGCGGCCTTGGGCACTGGATGTAACCGGAAGTGGGGCAGCCGAAGACAGGCGACATCCCGGGTGAGATCGGCATACCAATCGGCACCGGGCTCATCGGGTGTATCATCATTCCGGGATACGTGAGCGGCGACATGGGGTGAGTCGCGTGAACCGGCGTCGGAGGTCCGCGATGAGCCCGTCCTTGCGGATGCGGCGACGACGAGGGCGTGTACGGCGAAGCGGGTCTAAACGGGCTCGGCGTGCCCGGTGCGTTAATTCGTCCTGACCATCCGCCCGGAGGCACATGGCCCCCGGGTGGCCTCGACGGATGTTGCGACATTGTTGCGGACTACTTCGTGCTGCTTTTCACTTCGTCCCGCTCGCAGACTCGCATCGCTGCAAAAAAAATAAAGAGCAATTCAGTCGCTGACCTCGATTATCCAAATGTCGATTGAAATTAGGACATTTCTATTTTTCGAAGTTTAAGCTTGCGTTCAGTACGTATTTTCAATTGTGTTGCGCAATTTTGAAATTTAATTTAAAAAAATACGAAAGACAGATTTAATTTAAAAATAAACGGCTAATTATTAGCAATTCCTTGGATGTTTCCGTCGATGAACATCTTAATTAGGTTCTTAGCCATGACACATAAAACAACTGTCTTGGAATTGCCGATGAATAAAATATAATTATTCACTGCGATGTACTAGAATTATGGTTTAAATATTAACTAGCATAAAATAACAATATAAATTGATTGCAAAGAGTTCTAATTAAATATTTAAAATTTTTATTGCTTTTACTGCAATCTTGATCCTTGCTAAAAAATATATATTTATCAACATATGAGTGCACGTAATTTCTGCTACAATTAAAAACTATCGACTGTTTTTTATTTCATATTAATTATAAAATAGAAAAGCTAAAAAAAGGAAGAACAAGATAAAATAGGAATAATCAAAGTAAGAAAAAGATGGGTTCGGTTATGACTGCATTACATAAGATTACAGTATGTCATTCCGCTGTTATAACAAAGCAATATCTGAAACGGGACACACACACACACACACACACACACACACACACACACACACACACACACACACACACACAATCTGACGTTTGACTGACGGCAGTAAACGGTATTTTGAGGAAGACCACGAATGAACTTAAAAACGCTAACTGAACTCCGGGTCGCATAATAGCGTCTGCTATTCGACATGGCACACGGCCAAAAGTCTCTCGAAATAGGTGACTACTGTCGTATATACATATGTACCTCTGAACTTTCGCACATTGTTACGGAAAGACGGTGTCTGCGTGCAATTGTTGAAACGTCAAAAAGAATGCCGACAGGCGCGGGAATGGAGCAATGTGTAAATGGAGGTCGCAGAGCGATTAACAATCGCGCAATTTCTCTCTTTTCCGACCGTTAAATTCGACAACTTTCTCCGACGCCGTGTGGTCTTGTTAGTTTCAATAATAAACTTAATTGAGAACCGCTTTGTATTTTCGCAAACATACCGAGAGGCATTTCGAACAATTTCGGACGTGCTAGAGTTCGTTGATACCAGAGATCTTGGCAACTGGAAACGACAGTCTGTATGGGTGCATTCGTTTATGCAGTTACTGCCGCAGATGTCGTTCGTTTACTCCGCCTGCGAAAATAACTGCAGCGCAGTTTGTCGTTCGTTTACGCAGGGATGTATCTCATCTGCGCAGGTACTTCGGAGGTCCTGCTCTGGATGCTCTGCTTGCAGTACTGCGTAAACGAATACACCCATTGCGAATCTAGCTTAATTATCTGCATCCACATTGATTAATTAAAATGTGAAAATAGATTTTATTAAAATAAAAAATCAAAAAGGGGTAGAACAACTCCTCGAAATCGATCCCGCAAAAGTAAAAGTAATCCAAGATAAGTATTATATAATGGAAAAATTTTTTAAAGTTTACGATATTCGTATTTACAATCAAATTAACCTAAAAATGCACACGTATTAAATGTAGATTGAAAATCTAAACACATTATAAAATTCTAAACTGTCTGAATTTTCTATAAACAAATTTTGTAATGTTTTGGGATTTGTTTTTGTAAATTTATCTCAGGTACAGGTTCTGCTGCAATAGTTCCTAACCATGTAATGATTTCGTCTACAGCTGATATAGAAAAAGGATCAGAGAACTCTCAATTTAAGAATGTTTTGATCCCGTCTTCATTATTTTCGCAAAATTTTGTATAGACACAACGTAATGCAACTTCGCCAATGCTTTTAAATCCATTCACGCAGCCATTCACGCAGGTGTGCGTTCGGTAAATTAGATAACGTGACTAGCAGATGATAAACGCAGTGGATGCGCTAACCGCTGCATAAACGAATGCACCCTATATCTACAGGCGTCTATTTAATTTCGGCCAGACATCAAGTGCGTCAGACGCCCTTCGGTCATAATTGTTGCACTTGTCATACTTGTGCTTGTATTTTTACAAATGTAGCAATTTTCAAAAAAATTTCTTTTTCAGTGCGCAATTCTCCTGCACGATCGTCTCTTTTACAGTTGGATTAAGTAACAACGTCGCAGTTCTCGGATAATGAATCACTCGTGCCGTCTTTCTTGCGTCTTGTCTTCAATACGCGCACAAAGCGACATTTCTATGGTTTGATTCCCGTCCCATTGTTTCGCTAGGCCCATTTTACGCATCGTAAAATCGAAAGAGGAAGTCTGCGCGGCCCGAGCGCGCGTAGACCGAAAAGTCTTAAGCTTTTTAGCCGGATACCGAGTGTAGGCCGGCTAAATATAGCGTTATTTCTATTTTCGACGAGCGCGGCGTTTATACATGCGTCCAACAAGCCGGTAGGTATATTCGCAATGACTCGTCGTCGGGTATTTCAGAAACTGACACGGATATTAACATAATTGCGCCGGTCCGACCGTGCGACACGTGGCGAACGCGGGAACGTAATCACCCGACGAATGTAATTTCAAAAGCGATATCGGGATCGATCGACCTCGCGAGAGGGAAAGCCTCAGTCTCGGAAATAGTCTTCTTCCGAATTGCCATCTGTCGACGAGTTGTTTTCAATTTGTTTTCAATTTGTACTTTTCAAGAACGCAAATCGGCGTAAATCTGGATGCGAGGCATGCGCGAAATTAGCGACGGACTTTAAAACGTCAAACTTGAGCGAAGCATAATGCATTGGTTGTCGGGATTTCATTACAAAACCAATGCTAGTCTTTAAATATAATTTAAGAGTAATTTGTATTCTTGAGATTTCGCCGAGACATGGTTCTCGTTGCGACTGCCTTATCTACACGCATGCATAATATATCTGTCACAACTGAAATATGTTTGCGATGTAAAACGCTTCACACAGCTAGCGGGAACATTAAAATAACAATTAAGTCAGCATTTTCGAAAAATACGCGGAGAGCGTTGTTTCGGAAAAACACGTTGCTATTTTGCTTGCTGCGTTGCCTGCGAATAATCTACGATCGATTTAGATTTTTCTGATGTTAATATTAGAATCTCGAGAGAGAAAGAGAGACGCGGCTTGCTCGCGATTGAAAACGAAATCTTGATCTCGGTCACGCGAGGAACGGAAAGGTCGAACGGAACTGGAAAATTTAGTGCGAGGATTATCCGTGGACCAGTCGGATGTTAGCGATTCGCTGGATCCTGGACCTCGGATGCTGCATCCAAAAATAAGATCTCTCCGTCGAATTGATGATCAGAAATAGTCGGCGTTCGGAATGGATGTCGCTGACAGAATTGCCTGCACTTGCTTTGCCGGTCAGCAATTATTATAGACGCTCTTTTATCGATCTCATTGGTGTTAACGCTATAAACTCTCTACGTGCTGTTACGGGAGTTTTGCAATTCAGCTTTAATGCATACAAGGTTTATTCGTTGCACTTAACTCTGAGTAGAGTACCTCAAGTCAATTAAGTTTGCACTATAATAGACTGTTGTAAAAAGCCATCTTTTTCTTAAATAAAGCACAAGTAAGAAATTTTTTTAAAAAAAGATAAAAAAATTCTCTTTGAACGAAAATAGAATATTAAAGTCAATTGTTTTTATTAATATATAATTCTATTCTCAATTTTATTTGGCAAATTATTCATGTGACTTTAAAAATTAAAAATACTGACGTCTGTTTCAATCAATATCTATTTAACCATGTTAAAGCACAAATAAAATTATGTAATTCAAATTTCAGTATCGCAAATAAGCAACTGATTGCAATTATACATTACGCTAATAATAATAATTAATAAATTTTATAAATTACGCAACATTGCACACGCAAGCAATCGACCACCCACGCGAGTCATACAGGACGTTCCGGGATCCTTGACCATCGTTTTAACGATAAATTTATTTATTATTTAATTATTCTTAATTTTTAACTCTCTACAACTCAAAAATTCTATTAGTACTCAAATATTGTAGATAAGAAAAAGTTAACTGCACATCTAACAAGATTTGAAATCGGCAGAATTAAGGTCGAGTATCCCGGGATGACCGGTACATTTACAACACAAATTACCGATAAGTTCAGGAATCCTTGATCCAACAAATATAAGCAATCTCGATCGATCTCACACGCACAAGGACGTGGACCAGATTCTACTCCCGAAGAAGACAGACTCCGCACTCCGAAAATCGCACTTTTTCGCTCGTCTCCGCGTTTTACTGCGAAACTCGCAATTGATCGAGAGTCAATTGCGAGCGAGAAAACTTGACTGAGATGAGATCGGGGGTGGCAGGAGAGAGAGAGGAGGGACGACGACGATCTCTGTGCCGGATCGCGACGCGAACCGCGGAGAGACTGACTCCCGGCGCTGGATCAACGATCCAGGGTGGGCGTCGCGACGCTCTCTCTCTCTTCTTCTCTTCTTC